ACAAGACTCGTGCACTAGACATTCGCAGCGAACAGTGACTCGAGACTGGCGAACCAGCCACGCGCATTAGCCAGTCGGCACTCGCAGCGACTTCATTTTGGCAACCCGCGAAACCAGGCGAGCTACACTACTCTGCGCCCCGGCACTCGCTGCGAACGACATCTCGCGCCCCGCCAAATGCCACGCCTCACACCCCCAACATGACACTCATTGTGAATGGGCGTTCACATGCCACGAAATGCGCGCCCCGACAGCCCCACGTCGCACACTTGCAGCGAATCCGAGTTCGCGTGCCGCCAACCGCACGCCCTAGCACACGGTGCCTGCACTTGCTGCGAACTTGTGTTCGCGACCGGCGAAAGCGCCCGTGCAAGACATTTTTCACTCAAACTCGCTACGAACAAGGTTTCGAGACCCGTGAACTGCAGAATTTCACTAAATGTGTGTATTTTTAGTGTGTGTTTATGGTGTAGCTATAAATAGACTTGTTGCTTTGTATTTTGAAACAATTCCTCATTTGCTAAAATTTTCTTCTTAGTTTTTTTTCTGTCCTCTCTCCAGTTTTCTTTTTCTCTCTAAGGGCTCCAAGACCCTATTTTTATTGTAATATTTCTCTATCAAGATTACAACTTTCTGGCTTATTTCTTCTTGTGGATGCACTAGAGACTTGGAGACTTCGTTTAAGGTCCAATTGGAGACTTAGTTGAAGGTCCAAGATCTCGTAAGTTTTGCCTTGTCTTTACTTCTTGGATTCATTGTAGGGTAAAGGTAGAAGCTTTCATGAGTAGAATATGCATTCATCCTCGTAGGCTAGGGATTATGTGATTTTGTTATTGATTGCGTGAGCTTAATAGCCTGAGCGAGAATTGACTGAGAGCTCAATTAATTGATCGCGAGTGACGATTGCTTGATTGCATGTTCCCGAACCTATGAGTGCCTTCTTTCCATCTCGGGTCTTAGGGTACCTTGTTATTTTTCTCTATTTTCCTTTTTCTTGCAATTTGAGGAGTTGCTTGCTATAAAGTTTCCATCTTGCTTTCGTTTCAACCTAAAAGTGTGTTCTTTAGAGTAATCCAAACCCCCAAAGTGCGAGTAGAATGTTAGAAAATTTTATTTTCTCTTCTTGTGTGAGTCAATCGTTGCTTGAATCTGTGTCCGAATAGCCTTCCTTTAAGAATGACCCGAATCTGGGTAGCTCGGTTACCATCTATCCCAAAATACTACAAACAAACACAAACTGATAAAGAGGCTCGTATATTACCTCAGGTGGTGCATGAGTTAGAGGCCTCTAGTTAGGAACCCTTGGAGACTGATTCATCTAGCCATCATGATGAAACTGAACAAGTTGAGATAAGAAGGTGTACAAGGTCTAGAATACCCCCTGTTTGGCAGGATGATTATATATGAAACTCCATCACAAATTACATTTTATGGGAAATATTTCACTTGAAAAGGAGACAACCAAAGGCACACCAACTTGGATAAAGTCACGGTGGAGGAATTGCAGGCCTTGGAGCATAATGGAACATGGGAACTCACTGAACATCTTAATGGAAAGACCGCAATTAAGTCTAAGTGGACTTACAAAATCAAGATAAATAGTGATGGTTATGTGGAAGGTCTAAGACACGGTTGGTTGCCATGTTACAATCAACATGAAGGTGTGGATTTCTTTGATATTTTCTTCCTTGCGGCTAAGCTAGTCACAGTGAGGATGTTCATATCCATAACAACTATGAAAAAATAGAGCTTGCAGCAGGTGGATGTGAATAATGTTGGGACCGACGAGGATATCGTTAAGTACATGTTACAAATTCAAACAACAATATTAAACCTACCCGCAGCGGATCTAGAGGTTTAAGGTTTAACACTTACGGCAAATTCACAGACTCTGAGACGCTGTCGATTCTAACTGTTGGAGATCGTCTCAGAATCCGTTGGGCAATAGGGTTACTTCTCGCCGGATGTCGAGAAGCTCGTCGTGAGATCGTCGGGTTGCAGCTGATTGCAGTCATCGGCTTTGAGCGGACTGCAACACTCTGGTAAAGGGGTGGTGCCAACGTGCGATATCATCTCGGGACTACGGCTGCTCGCTGCTGCATCGCGATGGCTCGCGGTGGATCGCTGGGTTGCTGGTCGCGCGCGGCTGGTACGCGGGCTCGCAGTGGATGCCATGCTCGAGTGCGATGGTCACCGGGGCTCGCATAGGTGGTTGATCTCGGGGTCTCGGTATCTCGGGATCTATTGTATTACCCGACACCTCTATGTATGTCTTGGTGGAGCAACAAAACCGGAAATAAAACTTGACTCGGGAACTGGGGGTTGGAGCAGCTGAAGGTGTATATACGTGAGGCTTATGTGTTTCTGTCTCCCAATAACATGAGCTTAATGGTTTATTTATAGGGATACAATAGAGATCCTAAGGAGGTGATGATGTGGGCTTCTTAAGTCATTGGACCCAACTGTAGGCCAAGCCCACTTGGTCCAGTTACTTCAATAATGTTTAAATCCACTAACGAAACACTATTGCACTCCCTTATAATCCCCGAATTTATTCGAGACTCCAATTATAATTACTCGAATTACCTCCACATGTTTAAGACATAATGTCCATCAATTAATTTGATTACTGACAATCAAGAATTAATTGATTATATCTTGAACAGAAGCTAGCACCACTCAAATTTTCATTATTATGTTAGAACTTTCACCTGCAGGGTTTAACATAATAATCATTCATGAGCTCACTTCGAGGACATCATAAAACTAACGCACATGGTGACCATAAATATTCTTACAACACATCATAAATGCACCACTATTACCCAAAACATTAAGACTACTGACTCAGCAGAATAGATCTCACTTTTGGTGAATCAAAGTAATAGCTATTACATGCACATGTCTCTTTATATATCTTACGGGTTAAGAGAATGCAATAATTAACTGAGGTCTAGTTCGTTTACGACGATCAGTAAAAAATGAGTTCCTCTTTGGATCCTGTTCAATACATAAATGTATTAATACAACTAATCAGTCAAGATCAACTGTACGGTTGACATTACAACCGTTCTGATGGTTTGTTCATTTCTATCTCGATTGTCAATCAATCATTCTTGTTTCACAAGTAACTGATAAAATGATATTATGTTCACCCGCTAATGAACCATTTTATCTAAGTGCAAAACAACAAAATATAGAACTTGTTTAATCAAACACGATTCTCATTCAACAAAAATAAAGTTTAAATATCATCTAAAGCAAGCTTTCAGCATACGCACCAACAAATAATGCCTTTTTTCATGGCAATCTCACTGAGGAGTCTTATATGATTCCACCTCAGGGGTACTTGAAAGCTCAGTCTGGGTAGGTGTGTAAGCTCAAGAAAAGTTTATATGATCTTAAACATGCTTCAAAAGAATGGAATAAGGAGTTAACACAGAAATTATCCATGTTTGACACGACACAGTCTTCACATGATAATTGCTTCCTTAGTATGCACAAAGGGGCTAGTTTTATGGCTAGATTGATTTATCTTGATGATGTATTACTAACCAGCAATGATGAGGATCTGGTGGTGGAATTGAACCAGTTTCTTCACAAGGAATTTACTATCAAGGACCTTGGTGCAACAAGGTACTTTTTTGGAGTATAAGTTATAAGGAAGCAGTTGGTACTACTTTGTGCCAAAGAAAGTATATTTCGGACATGCTTGGTCATATGAATATGTTGGACTGTTCTACTGCCTCTACTCCTTTACCCTGTGGCATTAAACTACAAAATGAGGATGGTGAAACCTTGGGACAGCTTGAACAAGATCATTGGGAGACTCTTATAATTGATTTTGACAAGGCCGGATATTACTTATGTTGTTCGACAGCTTAGTCAGTTTGTTAATGCTCCTTGTACTTCTCATTGAAAAGCAGCCATTCGTATATTAAGATATTTAAAAGTTACAACTTCTCATAGTCTAATTTTTTCCTCAAGAACATTTCTTTACTCTCTCAGCTTATTGTGACGCAAATTGGACATCATGTAAGGACAGTAGGCGCTCAGTGACAAGTTATTGTGTGTTCTTGGGTGGGTCTCTGATTTCTTGGAAGTCCAAGAAGCAACAAACGGTGACTCGATCATTAGCCGAAGCTGAATATAGGGCAATGAGTACCACAATTTCTGAGCTTTTGTGGTTCACTTACATATTGTAGGATTTTTGCATTCAAGTACCTCATCAATTCCTTTATGGTGTGACAACAAAGCTGCCATTCACATTTCAGCTAATCCTGTGTTTCACAGGCGGACAAAGCATCTAGAGATTGATTGCCACTTCATTTGGGATAAATATATGTCTGGCTTTGTACTTCCTATGCATCTTTTTTCTAAGCTTCCACTTGCGGATATCTTCACCAAAATTGTGCCGGGACCTCAGGCTCGTACTCTCTTGTCCAAGATGAGCTTGTTTCAACCCAACTCATCTTGAGGAGGGGCTGTTGGAGTAGATGATCGAGCCCAATTCATGTGTTCTTTATGCAAAATAATTTGCTTTTCATTTTATTTTCCTATGTCAGTTGTTTCTGTTTTTAGTTGTGTGAGAAATTGTCGTGCGTTTCCTTTTGCTGGTGCTGCGTTTTTATAGTAGAACGACGCCGTTTCATTTAGGTTTGTTCAGCTTTATTTTAGCGGGGAAAAACGGTGTCGTTGTACCTTGCATGAGCTTATTAATGGCTCTGTCTTCTTCTTTGTTCATGCAATGAAATTATGTTGGTGAAAATGGCAACAGGAAAAATATCTTCCAAATTGTCTAAAGCTTTTACTATATATGCGTAATTGTGTATAGCATTTACTTTGCGTAATTGTGATGGACTTGGTATGAACCGAGCTAACATATATTATATTATCAAGTATGTATTTTCCTTGATCAAGTAAATGATCCTTCCATAAACTACACTAATCAAAGCATGCGTGCGCGCACACACACGTATATATATATTTCCAGTACTCAACTAGCCAAAATCGGGCTCGGGCGGTTTTGGCATCATGACCATCCCCTCCGACTCACCCCGAGACTTGTGGACCCCACGCATCGCGTTTGTAGCGAACCTCGACGCCAGCACGGTGGCCCCCATCGACGATGAGGACGAAGACGGGATCAAAGCTGTGCGCACGTCCCCCTCCCTATCCTCCCAACTTTCACTGTTGTGGAGCTCCTCCGCCAGCTTGCGCCTGGAGTAGCGGCGCCAGGCTGCCTGGATGAAGGTGGCTGCCCACGTGCGCCACTGCTGGGAGTAGAAGCGGAAGGTCTGCTGCACTTGTCGGCTGTGGATTCGCCTGAACTGGCTGGTGATGAACTTGAGCTCGTCTGCTATCAGAGCAAAGGCCTCCACCTCGGTGAGGGCCTTGACCGTGCGCGTGGAGGGAGGGAGATTGGAGGCAGCCTTGGGGTCGAGGGCCCACGTGAGGAGCTCCTCCCCACAGAAGTCCCCCTCCTTGAGAATCCCGCGGTTGAAGAAGCCCGACCGGCCGCCGTCTGTGGTCACGCTCTCCAGCCGCCCGCGGATGATGAATTGCATCTCGTCAACAGGGTCACCCTCTCGAAGGATGTATGTGTTTTCTGTGTACAGACTAGGCTTCAGCCGCTCGCAGATCGCGTCGAGCAGCCTGTCGTCCATGTTGCCAAAAAGTGGCACCTAAAATACAATGCTCCTCTTCTATAATTAATTTCATTTAATATAACATTCTTTTTTTTTAATTATTATTATTATTATGAATGTTGATGGATAAAAAAAGTGTGCTTACCCTTCTGACCAAATTTAAACACAGATGGCGCTTGATATCTCTCCTAAGGTCTTTGGGCAGGTTTTGGACTAAGCTCTCCTCGTCCACTCCTCTCGTCTCCAGCCATTTGTATTGGTCGTAACGCCTTACTCTTTCCCTGAGCTCTGCCGGTAGTACCCTGTGATGCATCCATTGCTCCGAGTCACGTTTTTTAACTCTCATCTCCTCCAACCGAACCGTCAGAGACTGAAGATAAGTCTGTACCGAAAACTCAAACACTTGGATATAATAAAATGTGTCCACATTATCAAAGAGCTCATTAAGATGGATTATAGAATACGTACCTGCATATTACCGATGAGAAGAGCAAAGAGAAGGAGTCCCAAAATGGCTACTGCTATAGAAAATAGAACCTCTCCAGGATATGTACTGGTTATTAGCCCCTGACCAAGTGTACTGCAAACATTAAATGGTTATATTTTGCTTCAACCTTTTTCCTGACAGTAATAACATAGTTCTTGAACAAGAGGAGTACCTTAAGTTCTGGAGGCCCCACCACAGGCAATAGAAGTACTTCGACACGAAATGCTCGGAGTCAAGAATGCCGGATGATAGAGCCTGAGCGTATATTCCGTAATTAAATTGTGATTTGTCGTCGTCGTCTATCGAACATTTTGGCTCAATAAAGGTGTTGCTGATGTTTCTCCACATGTCAAGGTTCGAGACCTCGTGGGCGCAATATAGATTTATCGTGTTACAGTCGGGAGTTTCCCGGCACGCTATATCCCAGCACGTGTCCTTACGTTCTATTGCCAGTAGGTACCACAAGGCCCCAACAATCTGTTTGTTTAACAATCAATATTTGTTATTAGCTTAGTTCGATTCAGAAGAAAAAGCTTTCTTCTTCTAGAAAAAATCAAAACTCAAACGAGAATTATTTATTTATCGACTTACATGACTGGCGAGCAAGAACCATAACAAGTAATAAGCTGCCCCTGCCCATGCAGTTTCGGCAAACACACCTGCAGTCTTCTTCAGCTCGGAACTGAGAGGCACAAAACGAACAAACCTCGGAATGTACTGAAGAAAAACTATAATCACCAGCGCTCGTTTCGTACCCAAGACATCCGAATCTTGTGCCTGATGCAAGAACCTCCAAACCACAATCTGCACATGGCAAGAATGCGAGAATAAGCATTTAAAGAAACACATTCATATA